GCTGCTTGTGAAACGCGGTCAGGAGACTTCCTAAGACTGATGGAGAAGGAGCAAAGATGAAGCGATTGCTTTTCAACAAGAAAATGATTCTGGTTATGCCTTCTCTTGCCCCAGTGCTAACCACAGGCACAGGTGGTCGGGAACAGGCCACAGAGCCGGAGTTTAGCTCCCAGGGACAAGGATGTCCTCACTCACTTGGTACCCCCAAGCGTGCCACATGCCAAGACCACCGCAAAGACGAGGCCGCACTCGATCATACAGAATGACGCGTGACGGTTAACACCAAGGACTGGGAATAAAGGCAGGCAGGCGACATGAGCTCACCCAGGAGAGCCGCGCAATTCGCAGCGGAGGAGGCAACCTGACAACCACATTGCAGGGTGAGGCTGAGTCAAGACATTTTTTTTTTAAATCCATGGAGTTAATTCAGATTTTGCCAGTTTTACATGCACTCATTCATGCGTGTGTGTTTCTATGCCATTTGACACATGTAGATTCTGTAGTCACCACCACAATCAAGAGACAGAGTTACCACAAGACTCCCTTGTGCCACCTGCCTATGTAAACAAGGAACCCCTTGCTGTGTGGACAGTAACGCAACCCCTCAAAATGACTCCCGGACTCCATCTTGTTTAGACATGCTTGTAAGAACTATAGGCAATTTCCCCCATCTCCCCTTGTCACGAATTGCCCTGCTCCCCGTCAGGTATTAACCACCTTCCCTGTAACATATTAACTGGCTTTAGAATAGTTTTAAGCCATAAAGCTTGCTGACGGCAGCATCTTATCAGAGCAAACACAGGTGGTGGTCGTGGGGCACTGCCCAGGGTGGGCTGGGGGCCTCCCCACGGGACTGCCATCACCAAGTCTGAAGCCAGTCACGTAGCCACCATCCCCAATTCCTCCAACTCAGGTATGAGTATCCCACATAGTGGGAGGGGGTTAGCGGTCATCTTGGATCCATTCTGGCCATTGCCGCTGGACGCCAAATTGCTAGCAACGTTTGTAAGCCTGCTTTCTTTATCTTTTTAATCCTTTCTCTCCTTATTCTTTTTGTTTCTCTTCTGAATAAACATTCATGTATCTGACTACACCTCCGGGGAAGTTTTTCAGACTTTTGCTACCTACTCAGGAGGAAGTCTTCACCTCCCTGGAAAATTCACACAACAGTTGGGGAGCTTGTTTCAACGTCGGTTCTGACTCAGCTTCTCTGGGGTGGAGACGCTACTCCTCAGCCAGGTGTAGAGCCAAGAGGAACTGGCTACTGTTGGGTCCAAAGACCTGCTTTTAACCCTTTCTTCCTGCTTGTGAAAATCCTACCTACCAGTGTGAAGATGAAAGGTTGAGGCTGGGTTGAAAACCTGTCTAGGCAAGCACAGCTGTGTGATGTTGGCAAATTATTTAATGCAGGCCCCAGTTTCCTCAGCTGTAAAATGGGGGTACTTGTCACCTGGGGGGTTAAGGAAGATCAGGCCGACAAAGGGCAATTCCTGGCACCTGGTAAACGCGCCACAACCTTAGCCACCATTTTCCTGCCCTGCTTGGGGTCACTGCTCATTATGCAAACCACAGTGAGCTCTCCGATCTTCAACCCCTTTACAAACGTGTATATTGAATGCGTCAGTCAGTTCTCGTGCTAGGAGTCCTCAGACTGGAGCTCTGTAGAGACAACCTGGGTCCTCCACGGTGACATCAGTGGGGTGTGTATCGCACCGGTGACACTCTCAGAGGGAGGGACACCAAAATGCCTGTCTATAGAACTTCTGTGCAGTTTCGGCAGAAATTCATTCTTGTTCACAAATACATCCCAGTAGTTAGTTTAACAGGAACATTTTTCGTCTGCCCAGACTACATGTATCGATACAGCTATAGGAGTAAAACCCTATGCTGATTAACTTTCTGAACCTTCTCACGTACTCGGTCAGAGCTGTGCTCATTACCTGGTCACAACGATGCTCCGAATCCCATGGTTTGTCTGCAAGCCCTACAAGCCTGTACTGCGGTTTTCGTTGCTGCTGGTGGTTTTATTGTTGCTGATTTTGTCACATCTCCTGGTGCTTTAGCAACCGTATTGTGGTAATTAGTATTTGTGAGCCCGTATCAGTAACTTTTCTGAAGATGCAGTAGTAATCAAAGGAAAAGGAGACAGATCAAAAAGGCTTCTGCTCAGCTACTAATAACGTTGTAACTAATAATGTTATAATTCAATGTAGAAAGATTTTACAAGACAATTTTTAGTATCCACATAATTTAGGAAATACTATTTTTAAGCAATCTACAACTACATCACCCATTGTTCTGATTAAAATGTATAATAACCATTACGGAGGATTCTGTACGGTCTGATATGGGAGGAGGTCCATGGGTGGGACATGACACCATCAGTACCACACTGGGTGACACCAGCTCTAGTGACATCACGGCCTAAGACCGCCAATCTCTATCAGAATGCTGTTTTTATTCTGAGCCCCACGGGCCAGCGAAAGGTTCTGTGGCTCTTTGGGGAAAATGACTGTGTACCCATCAGCGACCTGGACACCATTCTGCACCAGGGACACAGAAGGCTCTCCATGTAAGAGTCTTCTCTCAGAAACATGCATTTCTTGAAGAGGAATGAAAAAAGGCCTAGGGTCTACGTTGGGTTAACGCTAGTTTCTCGTTTCCCATGAACCCACACTGTGGTCAGATCGCCAGTGAGGTCGGCCAACTGGCCTTTGTCCAGTCCTCACACCGGTTTCACGCCCCACTCGGTTTGCCCCCTTTATGTCATTTGAGGAACGCTGTCCGTTCCGGGGGATTTTCAGCGTTGTCGGTTTTCCCAGCACGCAGACACTCGGCCCTCTCCTACGCGCATCTCTCTTCTGTCCAAGTCCTTCTGAGGATGCTGTACGCACCGCCAGGCGTTCGGTTCATTCCATCTCAATGCTTTTTTTCCCTTTTTTTTTCAGAAAAATGTTTTCTTTTGAACTTGATGAGCACTCAGGGAACAGGGCCATGAAGGCCGAGCTGATAGGCTCAGGCACCTTCCCCCACCTACTGCCCCCGAAGTCTGTCCCCGCTTCTTGACCTCTGAAATCAGGCCGTTAGAAGCCGTGGGAGGAAAGATGAGGGAAGGGGGTGCTGGAGAGAGTGGAGTTTACTTTGATTTCTTTTCTTGGAAGAAGCTTCACGAATAGGAGGCGGCTAAAGAAGCAAGGCAGGGCCCCCCTTCCAGGACTGAGATCTGCGAGAGCAGAAAGAAGCAGCCAACAGGAGGCAGGGTCGCCAAGGGCCCAAGGTCAAGGCCAAATAAAATGGATTAATTTAAGATACATATGTGATGCTTTAAAAAATGAATTACCAGGACCCATAGTTACATAAATAATATGTCTCACCCCTCCTTCCTGGAACCCTTCCCAACCTTGTCGTGTTGTGTACGGATGGAAAGAGCAGTCAAATCTTGAAGCAGATATTTATCAACACTGCCTGGAAAAATCTGCTAGTAAGATAACAACTCTTACACATCTAATTAATGGTGTTGCAGCTACAGGCCTTTCCACAAATGTCTTCCTAGCTCATTAATCCAGTGAAGTGTCACCAGCAGGGTTTACAGATGAAGAGAGGCTGAGGTGACGAGTGACTTGAAACAAGTCACAGGCCCAGGACTTTGGACCGGAAACCCGGCCTCTTTCCGTTACACCAGTATGAGAACCAGGGCAAAGCCGTCCCTACATGCAGACCACCACACACTGGGGACAGGCCCACAGTTCTGGTTCTGATCCGAGATGCAGTTAAACCACCGGGCAAGTCTGAACCTGGCCTTGTGGTCCTTGCCTCACCCCTTGGCCACCCATGTCCTGAAATGTGTCACGGCTGTGGCACCAAGCCGTGACTTCCTTTGGACCGTCCGCCGCCCCCCACGGTTCAGCACTGGCTGCTGTCACCCAGCACTGTGGCAGCTGCTGAGTCTCGGGGTACCGGGAGGGGACCAGGACAGCTTTAGTTTCTGGTCTGCGACACGGGGCAGCAGCACCCTCACCTGCTCCTGGGTTAGCGACAAACTTCCCACCAAGCTGCCAGGCCCCTGCAGGCTCAGGGCCTGAGCTTCTCCTTCGAGCTCTCCCATCGGTTACCCTGTTATCAGGCGGAGAGCCTGTTCCGTAGCCCAGCATCCCGGGGTAATCACCGACCACGCCTGGCCCGGCTGTGCCGCCCAGGAGTAACAGTGCGTCTGCCCCTTCCTCAGCAGGCCCGGATCCCGCCGGTAGGGACACTCACATACGCACACTCACATGTGAACAACCTTAGGGACTAAGTTGAATCCATCTCCATTTCTTCTATAACTAGTGTGATGTCAGCAATGAATGCAGCTATCTGTTACTAAACGGGATGTCAGCCTCTCCCACAAGACTGAAGGTTCCATGAGGGTAGGTCCGTTCCTCTGGCTGACTGTCATATTTCCAGCAGTGCCTCGTGGGTGGCAGCCCCTCCCTTCCCAGGGACAGCCTTTCATCCCACCAGCCCATCTGTGAGATATTCTCCAAGGCATAGGTGGTGAGGGACAGTAAGTTTGGGAGCTGGGTGGGTGGAGGCAGTGGAGTGGTGACCGGAGATCAAAGGGGCTGAGGGCTGCTTAAGCTGAGGAGCAAGAAAGGCGTGCTGCAGAAATGACGGGACACTCGCACGGTACGCGTGGTAGTCGTGTGACACTCTTGACAGCTTTCCACCCCACTCCCAACATCCATCTCCACCCCAAACAATCATTAAGCAGTAATTCATGCCTTCATTTCTTTACACAATCAGGTGCATCTCAGATTACAAAACCACAACCCAAAGAACTCTGCAGAGTTCGAATGTGGTCAAGGAACCCGCCACAATTTCACTGAGTTAGACGTCAACATGGAGCCGGGTGTGTCCCTCCAAACGGCCTTCAGTGTAGGCAGACTCCTGTCCTACAGCGTGTGGAAAACCGTAAGCAGCTTCTGTTCTCAGCCACTGACGGGCAAGTTTCTGCTGACGGTCTACTTCCTCTTGGCCGCTCGTTTGCCTTCTCCCTTCCTCGGTTTCCCCTTTCCACGGAGCTTCTTTAGACGCAACTGCTCGTCCTTAAAATCCTGATGCTCGTCTCTGAACGGAGAAAGAACAATTAACCAGCTTTTGCTTCTAGGCAGGAAAGGGACTCCAGCTAGCACGGGTCCCTCAGGTCGTCCAATTACCAAGCCCTGACAGTTACAGGCCCACGCATAGCTGAGGAATATCTGAAAGAACAGGGAGTCCCCAACATACAGCAAGTTGTGTGTCCCAAGTTCATTATAAGTCAGCTTCCCCTCACTGAAAATGGCCCAACGAGCAGTCAGCTTTCCAGGCTGGCCACCGCATGTCACATAATGCCTAAGGCACTTGACTGCTATCCAGAAGGCTGGCTGTTCAAACCCACCAGCCACTCCTTGGAAGGAAGGTCGGACAATCTACTTCCCTAGTGATACTGCCTCAGAAACCCTAGGAGGGGTCGCTATGAGTCGGGTCCAACTTGACAGCACATAACAACAACGACACCGATAATCACTCCAAACTTCCCTAAAACATGAAGACGAAACACCACAAGCAGCGGGAAGTGTCGGCTGCAGCGGCTGCACACAGACACTGTGGGCCCAGGAACGACAACGGGAGGAGGCTCCCGGAACGGCAGTGGGCAAGGCACACAAGAGGGGAGTCGGGGACAGGCTCAGGCAGCAGGGAGCCAACTCCAAAGTCAGCTACGCTGCCAGGTATGTACGTGGGCACGGGGATGGTGTCAAGTTGCCTGCCTGTCCTGTATAAAATGTCTGCATCTCAAGATTAAATACCCCAAGGTTTACGCCAGGAGGGAGAGCCCCTGTCCTTACCATGGCTGACACGGCCTTCACGGGGTGCCCCCATCCCACCCCTCTCCCCTGGCTGGCTCACACTCCCACCCCAAGGTCTCTGCTCAAGTGCCCACCCCTGCCCTGAAAGCTCTTGCCCAGATGCCCTCTTGGAACTCTCCTCACCTCTCTTCCTGCACGAGCCCTACCCTGACGGCCTATTTACCACTGTGCCCGGCAGCACCTGGCTCCTGCTCAGCTGGCTTCACCGTGTTGCTCCATGGCATCTACCACTTTGTGCCAAGGCACCTGCTTGACTGCCTTATGTTCATGCCCCCCTCCCTCGGCACCCCCACCAGGAAGCAAGCCCCACAGAGGCAGGGGTCTCGAGCGCTAGGCTGAAAAGTGACGAGCTGTTTCTGAGAGCATGTGCTCCCTCATGCCTTGGCGGACCTTTGTGTACGGTTTTCTTTGTCGAAGGCTGTCTCGATGCTGACGCCACGGGAGGCCCAGCCTTAGAGGCACTACCAGTGACCAAACGCAGGAAATCATTTTGTTCTACCCCAGATAGCTGGACGCGGGGTCCTTTCCTCCTGCCGCCGGTGAGAGTCGCGTCTTTCTGTGTCACGTGAATGGAGGGCTGCAGCAGCCGTAAGAGCAGCAGAACGTGGTTCTGTGAGTTGTCACTTCCACTCAGGAGATCTACACCTAACGGCATTTGATTTCAGGTCACGATAAAATTAGCTTTTATTTCCCGAGACCAGACTAATGAAAGGAAGATAGTCCCTGAACCATCCTAGCAATCTCTTAACCGTATTTTTATGTAAATAAACACTTGTGCCTCCTACGTTTGTTTGCCAACTACTCCCTCCCCAGAAGATATTTTCATAAGCGCGGCTACACCAATTTTTTTTACATGTTCCTGTAAAAACATTAGCACAGCATATTTACAATAGTATCCCTGGGAGAGAGGGAGCAGTAGGCAAGCAAACTTAGAAGGTATGTGTTATCTGTGTAAAAATATGGATGTCAAGGATTATAATGTCTGATGTATTACTAAAAAAATCTTATTTAACTCACTGCTGTCCCTTTAGTGCCCATCTTAGTGCCTGTATAGGGAAGGTACTTAAAACTAGGTCTCTGAACTGGTTCTTCTGGGTTTAGTCATGGCTGACAAAGCCACTGGAACAGACCCAACTTTGTAAAATGTCAGTATACTGGAATGGTAACCAGAATGGGAAAATTTACTGCTCAATGTCCTGCTAGAAACCTAAGCTCCCTCTTAGAAAAAAAGGGTGGTATGTGTGTTGCACAGCAACCAAATCTCTTGACCCAAAGAGTCAGAAACAATGGTGCCTGGCTCAGAGATGATGGGCGACCGCTCCACTTTGAATGGGGTCCACCAGTCGTGGCAGTAACCCAATCTCCCGCATTAGGCTCCCGAAAGGGCTCACTGCGCCTCTTGCAAGGCTCCCATTCCAGGGCTTCTGCCTGTAATATTTCCCATTTCAGTTCTCATTCTGGTACATCTGTTTTATAAATTTGGGTCTGCTGTGATTTTTCTGCATCGGCCACGAATAAACCAGTTCAAAGCCCTGCTTGCAGCATCTGCTGGTTGAATGAATGTACCACGCTGAGCCACCTGGAATGCCAAGTCCCACACTATACTATTAATTTTATCTTTTTAGAGGGAATAACCCCAGAGGGATTTTGTGCTACTGCCTGAAGACAAGTCAAATGAAATTGTGTTAATATTTTTTCCTGCTGAAACTGAGGAACAAACCAAAAATACCTTGTTTTCAGAGGCAGCTATTTTAGCTTCACATACTAATGCAGTTTGAATTCCTTCCTACTGACCATGCATTAGTTTGGCAGTTACGAAAAACGGACAGAAGATGGAACCCACAGGAATTTGTTCTTTTCTCTTTCTACAGAAGTGCCTGACCCTAAGCACCCACCCCCTGTACACACACAAGCACCAAGTATGTGCTAAGATCCTGTGTGACTTGGTGCTCTTAATTCAGACCAAATCAATACGTATACAGAAAAGGTACACAGTGAAAAAGCCAAAACAAGGTGGGAGAAAACCAGTGCGCCAACGGGCTCACCTCCAGAACAAGGAGGCTCCCACACCACAGCCCATGGGGCAGGGACTCCGGCCACCTGACGAGCAACAGCCCGCAGCCACATCCCCCTCAGAGACAGCCCGGCCTTTCACTGTTTGCTTCCTCAAGAGAAGGCCAGCTGCCCCTGCCATCTTTCTAGAGTGCTCTTAGACTGAGAAACACTTTCCCACAACTCAGTAGGTATCAATGTTGGTCACGTTTAGCCAGAGTTAAAATGTGTCTTCTGGTAAGTGAGTGGTTCCTTCTTTGGTTTGCCCACTGTGGAAAATCTAAAAGCTGCATTTTATGCCAAACCCACCTTTTGAACCCCCTGAGCACCACTGAAGAACCACAAAACCATCAGGATAGAAAGGGGAATTTTTCCTTTATCTGATCTCCTTTAAAAAAAAAAAAAAATTCTTCTTTGTGCTTTTTGCCTCACCTGTAGAGACCAAGATAACGCAGCGTCCCCATGAGCGCAAAGTACGTGTTGTGATTTGGGTACCAGTCATAGGTCTCTTTCCTCTTGGCCAGGGGCTGCTCACTGAACAGCTTCACGACTTTCATGGACTTGGAGTCGGTAGGCCTGGCAACTTCTCCAAACAGCCGGGCACTCAGCCGACCCATGCGCAAAGCGTATTCTGAAAGCGAAGACATTTCCAGAGCAGCACAGTGTGAGAGTCCCTACAGGAAATGAGGAGAAAAACAGGTGAGTGGGAGGAATTCCAGGGACCTACCAAACACCTCAGAAAACGAAAACGAGAATGCCGGACGTGAACCTGAGCACGCTGTTGGTGGCACACATGAAAAATCTAAGCATGCTGTTGATGGCACACGTGTGAATCTGAGCAAGTTGTTGACAGCACACATGAATCTGAGCATGTTGATGGCACACGCGTGAATCTGAGTGAGTCGTTGACGGCACACGTGAATCTGAGCATGTTGATGGCACACGCGCGAATCTGAGCATGTTGATGGCACATGCATGAATCTGAGTGAGTCACTGACAGCACACGTGAATCTGAGTGTCAGTGGTGGTACACGCCTTGCAGTTGAGAACATCTGCCGTCCCGACAGGTGGACGTCTGCATCTTATGCTCACAGACCCCTCCTCCCTTGCTGCACCGCCCTTTTTCCAATCTGGCAGGTGACTGCCTGCCACTGAGCACACCTGTGCAGGAGGCGGGCGAAGAGCACAGGGGAGCCAGCTGGCCCAGCACGACACTATCATCCCCTCAGAAAACACCCTCCTCAGCAATCCACACAATAAACACGCCGACTGCTTGCCATCTGAAGGTCTAATCATGGCAGAGAAATAATTATGCTGCTGCCTTCATGATGAGCCCTTTGAACACTGCTCCTCAAGGGCGCCAGGTGGCTCTCAGAGCGCTAATGAGCTATGAGGTCACTGAGCCCGTGGGCTACTGGACCGAATCCTGCCCAGAGACTGGGAGCCACTGGGGAAAAACAAAGGGGGAGAGCTGCCCCACAGACACCAACGCAACAGTCCAAGGACTCATCTGACACCGGGCAGAAGGCACGTATGGACTGTGCTGTGACTTGTCTTATCTTCCATCTTGTATACTCTGCCTTCATGAGGAGTCAGCCAACCTCTTATGAGTGGAAAACAGTGACTTTTTTTTCAGGGTGCAGAGTGTTTAAACAGGTGTGAGGATAATGGCCAGTGAATGCAGGAAACGCAGGTGATAGGCATCAGCGATGGGGCAGGCGGACCACAAAAGTCAGGAATGTCGGTGCGGCTGCTGCCCCAGTGCTCCCAGAACAGGTGGTGGGGCTACTACTGGCCACCTGTGCCAAGGCTGTGACGTCTCAGTTGTGAGAGGGCAGCTTTTGCTCAGAGACACTGTATTCCCAGCTCAGCTGAGTGAAAAGGTGATTTCCAAACAGAAAAAAGGCACAAACCTGTCTTGAGAAACCAATGGGAGAAACATACAAAAAGCAAAAAGCTCTTCTAAACAGGAATAATAATAATAAAAAAAAAACCCAAACTCACTGCCCTCAAGCCGGATCCGACGCATAGTGATCCCTCCTTGGGTTTCCGAGGCAGTATCACCACAGAAGTAGATTGCTCAACCTTCCTTCTGAGAAGTGGCTGGTGGGTCTGAACCCCCAGCTAAACAGGAATGGTACCACTTAAATATTAAAATCGCTCTTTCAAGAAAAACCAAAGCAAACTCAGGGCTTAAGCGCAGGAAGCTTTGACTGCCATTTCAAGGGCTACGAAAGGAGCAGAGGCTGGCCTCAAACCAGGAGCCCCGTGGCATTATGTTAGGTGCTCAGCTGCTACCAAAAAGGCAGCAGTTCAAACCCCTCAGCCACCGGGAGCAAGATGTGGCCGTCTGTTTCTACAGACTGACAGCCTTGGAAACCCTACTCTGTTCAGTTCTGCTCTGCCCTATGGGGTCTCTGAGCTGAAATCGACTCAAAGGCAATGGGTTTGGTTTTCCACCTCAAACTAAGGGCAGAAAGTGAACCTCAAACAATTTACCTCCGTACTGACCAAGCCATACCGGGCCAAGCCTGCCACCTGAAGGCCGGCCGTGGGAGAAGCCTGACCCAAGGTGTCCCCCCCTCCTCCCACCCAGGCATCAGCACCAGCCTCACTATTCCTTCCTCCCTCTCCTTCCGGCACTCAAAGTTCTCACATTCACTTCTCTTTCAATTCTTACTCCGCTTTACAAATACGGCTAAGTTGCCATTGAGGTTGTCAGGGGGTGGGTTATATTTTCATCAAGGAGAAAGTCACAAATCAGTTTAATGTATAAATAGGAAACGGTCACAAGTCTGTGCCATAAACCCCTGAAGGCCTTGCAAACATCCGGAAGTTGCCTTCAGAACCTGCAAAGGAGTTCTTTGCAGGCCTTCTCTCTGCTCCTCCTTTCACCTCTGATCTCTGCTAAACATCAAATTAAAACACAACCCGCCTTCTTCAGCAGCTTTGCTATGATTTGCGTAACGACAGCTATGGCATCAGAGTAGATTTCGCCTGCGACCGCGCAGTAGCTCCACGATTGGTTAACGGGTCTGGAAACTGTCACTGTGCCACAATGCTGTCAGGAAAACATGCTCTGAATTCCAAATCGCCTGAGTCTGAAAGAGGCAGCAGGGAGGCAGGCCTGGACTTGTGTGCCGACCGTCCCTTGTGACCCGTGCTAGTGTAGCTGCGACCTTCCCTAATCGTGAGTTTCCTCTCCTGAAAACAAAGCTGGCAGCACTGCTGTGACAAAGACGGTGGCACTCAGTGAACGGCAGCTGCAAGCCAGAAAACCTTCATCTGTCAACTCTCGTGTATTCTACATAGCCACATATGTTTATTCATGGTCCTCACTCATCATACAGAAAGAGAGACAGACAATCCACCCAGTTCAACTTATCTGTCCCTGAATGACTGCCTCACAGGGCAGATGACAGCAGCCTGGGCCTGCACCGGCAGTGAGGAGGGGAAGGGATCCCCTAGGACACCGGTCACTGAAGCTGTGACAGGATGCTAAGCTAGCTCGATGCCCACTTCGGGATACAGCAAGTGCCTGGGACACAACAGCATTACATAACAAGGTCTCGTTAGAATCCACTGGAACATGCTTGTAACACAAAATCCAAGCCCTAAAAAATGTAATGGAGAAAGGGAGTAAGTCTACTAGAAACCAAGGACCACTTGCCAAATGGAAGGAAACTGAAAATGGTTATAATTATGAACAAGATTGCCCCTTCCAAAGCAAAGGAACTCAGCATACAGTGTGCTCAAATCTGCTGTCCGTAAACCTTGGTCCTAACGCTGGCAAATGGCCACGTTTCACCAGCTGTAAATTCTAAAGCTTTACCTGGGACTTTTCAGGACCCTGCTATACTTCCTTACAGATGCTTTCAATTTTATCTTCAAGAGAAAAAGGAAAAAGCATATGATGACCATGGTAATGACATTTTAAAAGACAAATAATTTGCATATCCATTAGATTTTTACTCACAGAAAACCACTAGAAGGAATGTAACACAGTCACTCCAAAATAATCACCTTCCCTGAAGTGGAAAAGAAAGAAGACCCCAAAGAGGACTAGTGCACTATGATGAAACACTCAGTGGAGCTGAAAATGCTAAACAACAATGCTTCAGTTGCTCCGAAGCGTGCACACCTCAATTCCCATGGTTTACTCCAGCAGAAAGGGGTGTTTTTTTGATCTTTCCGAAACAGAAGAAACGGTCAGGTCTTTGCACAGTTAGTTTTGGATTCGTTGTTCCTTTTCTCTTTGAACAGTGCAGATGAAGTGCAGTCCCTAACCACATGCCGGGCATCTGGAATCCCTAGTGACACAGCGTGCTGACAGGCATGAACGTGTGTGTGTGTAAACGTGGCAGGGCAGACAGCCGGCCCATCTCACGGGCACCAGCTTTGGGAGCAGAAAACGTGTGCCCTGCCCTTCACCGGATTTTTGACTCCCAGCGACGGTATGTGACAGCACAGACCTGCCCTGCAAGAAGGTTTCCTTGGTGGTTAAGGGCCCCCGCCGCTAAGTGAAGGGTGGGTCAGCAGTCGGAACCCACCAGCCGCTCCACGGGAAAGATGTGGCACCCTGCTTCGGGAAGATTACAGCCCAGGAAACCCTATGGGGCGAGCCTACTCTGTCCTACAGGGTGTCGTGAATCAGCTTTGCTTTGCGGTTTTAATCTTTATAGGAGCAGACGGCCAAGTCTTTCTCCCGCGGAGCCTCTGGGTGGCTTTTGGTGAGCAGCCGAGCGCTTAGCCGCTGCGCCGCCAAGCCTCCTTCTTTGAAGCGGTCCGTTTCCGCAGCGATCTGACGAGGTCAGCGGTGCTACCGCATGCGGAGGGCGGGCACGCGGCGCTCACTGCGATCTGGTCTCGCACACGGCGCGCGTGCTGTCACACCCCATCTCCACCGGAGGGGGCGTGGTTCCCAAAGCCCAGTACCGACTCTAAAGGGTCGTGGAGTCACCACGGCCCTGCCCCAGGGTCAGCTCGGGTCCCTTCAACCACGAACACTCCCGCGCGCGGAGCAAGTAACGGCGGCACGGCAGGCGACGCAGGATCGCTGAGCAGTTTTCTCAACTGCCACCTTTCTATATTTTCCTTTCCTTGGTAACAAACTCAATTTGAGTGGCCCCTCACGCCTCCAGTCTAGGGAGAGAGCGCCGCGCCCAGCGGGCGTTGGGGGGCGCCATCGCCCGTGTCTGGCTGCGCCTGTGGGGTGCGCGCGTGATCTCCGCGCTGCAACTAATGTGAGGGCCTCGCCCTATTCCAGCGACTCAGCGAGGCTGGAGATCCTGCGGGCCCCATGAGCCCGAAAACCCCACTGCGACCCTGAAACGCCCAGGCCCGCTCACCTGGTCCGACCTCCGCGCCCCCGGGCCCGTTTCCGGAAGTCCCGCCCCGCCGGCCCCGCAACTCGCTCGCGACAACTGCGGAGAGCAGTAAAGAAACGGAAGCTAGCGGCTAGAGCGGAGCTTCGCAATGACCCGGAACTCCTAGCGCCCTCTCTTGGAGGCCTCAGAGGTCACGGTCACGCCTGCGCAGAGAGGTCACCGCCCCGCGTGCGCCGAGGACCCGGCGGTGGTGGGATCCTGGAGCAGGGGCGTGCGGGCTGTGACTTTCAACAACCGAATTTAGTTAGTTTTTTTGTTAC